CTTGTGGCCTTTCTCCTGCATGGTAAAGATCGGGCACAATCTCCTCCCTCCACCCCCATCCAGCACAAGGCAAAAAGAGCAAGAAGCGTAGGCGAGCTCGGTCCACCTGGCCCCCTCAAATCACCATGAGGGGACCACGAAGCTCCACCTTCCCGCGGCCAGTGGGCCGCTTCCTCATGCTATTCTACCAACTGGCTGGCGTCTGCGACGCGACCCCATTCCACTCTGCCAGTGTCTTCCTAGAGGTGTCCTTGGTGGAATGGGACGTTTGATCCCTGACTGACAAACGCTCATCTCTCTGAAGCAGCCCCACAGTCCAGTGGCTAATCAAGGAGGGCCTCTGGCAACCGGATCAGAGTCAAAAACCTACACCTTGAAAGGTACCTGGTCCAAAAAGAATGAACGACCAGCACCTGAACTACCAGGACAGACTGAAAGGGGAGGACTCCCTTTCTCACACAGCCCCTATCAGGTATGCAAAGAAGGCAAGCTGGATTGCCAAGTCAAGACCTCAAAACGCCTAGATGTTCACCCCCCTCATCCAGGATTTGTTACCGAGTCCCAAGAAAATCCCTCTCCAGTGGGCAGACTCCGAGGCTAGCCAGAGAAACTTGATCCCCTCCACCTGGCCGTCTTGGGGGACCCCGGTTGCTTACCTTTCAGACGTCTCCCCTATCCACGTCGGTCGCGCTTCTTCCAAATGGAAGTCCTTGAATCAAGGCTTCCCTATGCTCCTTTGTGCTGAAACTCCAGGTCAGAGCTTGGAAGGAAGTGGCTGCGGGAGAATTTGTAGTTTTGGTCAGCTGGTCAAATTAGGTCCGAATCAGGAGAGGCGCCTCGATTCCCAAGCCGCTCCTCCTTCGCTCTGGCCCAAAGAATCAGACCAAGGTGCCTGCTTGAAAATTTGGGCTATAATTGAATCGGGGCCTTCAAGCAGGGTCCCTTCATAGTAAAGCCAAATGATATCGAGCTCTTTTTGGGGGCCCCTCCAGGGAGGAGAGCCCAAGGACCGCACCAAAGAGGGTCCTGGATACCTTGGTGAGCTTTCTGGGAGCCAATCCAAGTGCGCAGAAATATTTAAAAATTAATAAGCTCATCAGAGGCGGAAGAAGTCCAGCGATCGAGGTTTATTTGCGATTCAGCTGAAAAGGATGCATTACAGGAATCATTCCACTGTAAGCATGCAGCACAAGAATTTCCAGGCATTTTTATACAGTGTAGAACAAAAGAAAGCAGTTTGAAAATCCTGCCCGCCCCCCTGTCAGCCGGCTTCGTGCTGATTGGCTGAGGCTGGAACAGCTGGGAGGAGGTAATCCCGCCCTCCCCCGTCAGGAGCCAATGGGAGCGTTTCTTCGCCTCGGGAGGGCCAATGGGCGCCCTCCGCTCGCTTCCTGGGTTCTGGCCAATCGGGAGCGAGGAGGCGGGACAGCCGCGGACAATGGGGAAAGGTGATGGGATTTGGGATTTCCTGCCCGCTGGAATGCGGGCCATTGTCCAAGGCGGGAAGAGGGTGATGTTTGTCAAACAAAGGCTTTCCTGTTCTTAATGAGTCTGGCGAGTGATATGAATAGCTGGATCGATACCAGACCGCCCGGAGGATCAACAGTATCTGGGTGATTTAATCAGTCCTTTCTTTCCGGGGCTCTGCTGACCAAACCCTCCTTCGTTGGCCTTGCTCCGATGACGAACTCGGGGGGCCAGCAGCATTGTCCATGCAAAATGAGTCAATTAATGGGTGATTTGGGGGGGAAAGAGGCTTGGGCTCTTTCCCTCAGGCAGTTCCTGGTCAGGCTGGCTTTATGGGGTAAGGGGTCAAAGGGGTGAAGAGACAGGGGAGTTCATTGAGGGATACATATTTCATATTTATAAAATACAGGCATCATCAATATACAGGCATTTCATAATCTCACAGCCCACCACCCATCCCAGTTCATCATAGTTAAGAAAAGATTTTATTTTTATTTTTTTTCATAAAAGAGGAAAGAAAGACTAGAAATCCCAAAAGTCCAGATGAAAAGGTTTTGGAGGCATGGGCCAGCCCATGATTCAGGCTGGCCAGCAGAAGATCGGCCCTTCCAGGAAACAGGAGCTGGAGCTGAAGGGGGAGCTACGTTCCACGGTCCCGTCCTTGGTGG